CCCATGAGAGAGATAGAGCATCAAATTGATTTGATTCCAGGAGCATCATTGCCAAACCGTGTTGCTTATCGAACCAACCCAGAGGGGACTAAGGAAATTCAGCGGCATGTTCAAGACCTTTTGGACCGCGGGTATGTACGTCAAAGCCTTAGTCCCTGTGCAGTTCCTGTAATTTTGGTTCCTAAGAAAGATGGTTCTTGGCGAATGTGTGTTGATTGTAGAGCCATTAATAATATTACTATCCGATATCGTCATCCTATTCCTAGGTTAGATGACATGCTTGATGAGTTGTGTGGCTCTATAATTTTCACAAAGATTGACTTGCGTAGTGGCTATCACCAAATTAGAATGAAACTTGGAGATGAATGGAAAACAACTTTTAAAACTAAATTTGGTTTGTATGAGTGGTTAGTAATGCCTTTTGGTTTGACTAATGCACCTAGTACTTTCATGCGCTTAATGAATGAGGTTTTAAGGCCTTTTATTGGACGATTTGTGGTAGTGTACTTTGATGACATATTGATTTACAGCAAGTCTTTGGATGAACACATGGATCATTTACGTGCTGTTTTTAATGCTCTATGCGATGCACGTTTGTTTGCTAACCTTGAAAAGCGCATCTTTTGCACGGAACGAGTCTCTTTTCTTGGATATGTTGTTACTCCATAGGGAATTGAGGTGGATGAGTCGAAAATTGAAGCCATAAAGAGTTGGCCGGTTCCCCAAACCATCACACAGGTGAGGAGCTTTCTTGGCCTTGTAGGATTCTATCGCCGTTTTGTCAAAGATTTCAGTACCTTTGCTGCACCATTGAACGAGTTGACGAAGAAAGGGGTGGTCTTCCATTGGGGAAAGACACAGGAGAAGTCGTTTGACACTTTGAAGGACAAGCTTACACACACACCATTGCTACAACTTCCAAACTTTGGTAAGACTTTTGAGTTAGAATGTGATGCTAGTGGAGTTGGCATTGGAGGTGTGTTGATGCAAGATGGTAAGCCTATTGCATACTTTAGCGAGAAGTTGCATGGTCCTGTTTTGAATTATTCCACGTATGATAAGGAATTGTTTGCTCTTGTACGTTCCTTAGAGACGTGGCGTCATTATTTGTGGCCTAAAGAATTTGTTATTCACTCCGATCACGAATCGCTTAAATATCTTCGCTCTCAAAATAATTTGGATCGTAGACATGCAAAATGGGTTGAATTTATTGAATCTTTTCCTTATGTTATCAAACACAAGAAAGGGAAAGATAATGTGATTGCAGATGCTTTGTCTAGGCGCTATACTTTCTTGTCCCAACTTGATTGTCGGATTTTTGGACTTGAATCAATTAAAGAACAATATGCGCTTGATCCTGATTTTAATGAAGTGATGATAAATTGCAAAGAGGGACGTACTTGGAACAAATTTGTGATCAATGGTGGATTTGTTTATAGAGCTAACCGTCTATGCATTCCAGTTGGTTCCGTTCGTCTTTTGTTGATATAGGAAGCGCATGGAGGAGGGTTGACGGGACATTTTGGAGCTAAGAAGATGGAAGATGTTTTGGCCATGCATTTCTTTTGGACAAGGATGAGAAAGGATGTTGAGAGGTTCGTGGCACGTTGCACCACTTGTCAGAAAGCTAAGTCTCGTTTGAATCCACATGGTTTGTATATGCCTCTTCCTGTACCTTCTATTCCTTGGGCAGATATTTCTATGGACTTTGTTTTGGGATTACCTAGAACTAAGAGGGGGAGGGATAGCATTTTTGTGGTGGTGGATCGTTTTTCTAAGATGGCACATTTCATACCAATCCATAAAAGTGATGATGCTGTTCATATTGCTGATCTGTTTTTCCATGAGATTGTTCGTTTGCATGGTATGCCTTCTACTATTGTTTCAGATCGTGATGCAAAATTCTTGAGTCATTTCTGGCACACGCTATGGAACAAGTTGGGTACAAAGCTATTGTTTTCTACAACATGTCACCCACAAACAGATGGACAAACGGAGATAGTCAACCGCACTTTGGGTACCATGTTGAGGGCTATTTTGAAGAAAAATTTGAAGATGTGGGAAGAATGTTTGCCTCATGTGGAGTTTGCATACAATCGGGCAACACATTCTACTACCAAGGTAAGTCCTTTTCAGTTAGTGTATGGTTTCAATCCTCGTGCTCCAATTGATATTTTGCCTTTACCTACTAGTGAGAGGGTTCATCATGATGCTAAGGCACGCGCTGAATTTATTTTGAAAATGCATGAGTCAACCAAGCTCAACATTGAAAAGATGACTGAAAAGTATAGAATTGTTGGTAGTAAAGGTAGGCAAGAGGTTAAGCTTGAACCGGGTGATTTAGTTTGGTTGCACTTGCGAAAGGATAGATTTCCGGAATTGAGAAAGTCTAAGTTGATGCCTCGTGCTCATGGTCCTTTTAAAATTGTTGAGAAGATTAATGATAATGCATATAAACTTGAGTTGCCTCCCAAGTTTGGGGTTAGTCCCACGTTTAACATTTAAAATTTGAAGCCATACTTGGGAGAAGAGGATGAGCTTGAGTCGAGGACGACTTCAATTCAAGAGGGGGAGGATGATGCGAACATCACTAACTCGGATACACACAACAATCCTCCAACGTTCATTCAAGGACCGATAACAAGAGCTCGTGCGCGACAATTAAATTTAGAGGTGAGCTCGTTCCTATGTTCTTCTTTGTATGAATTCGAGAATAGATTGCTACCTAATGATTATATTGTGAATAGGAACAATGGAGGGGTCAAGGAGACACTTGGAAAAGGACTTAGAGCCATGGATGAAATCCGGAGGTAACTTTTTTTCCTAAAATAATAGTTATTTAATTTATATTAGCTCCATCTGAAAACCACGTGTTATTTAGTTGTTTCCTGGTCCAGACATATCGGGTGAAATCTGGACATAACTTTTTTTTTGTCATGAAGGAATCGGGATGGAGGCGCCGGGGCTGGAGGCAAGTGCGTCGGGAGTCAAGGACGCCGGGGACACGCGATAAATTCTGAAGAAGCGCTATATCACGAATGGATGACGAGATACAGAAAAAATACTACAACTGGAAAATCAATCCGGATGAAAATAAACTTCAATTTCAAAATACTAAACAACACTTTTCATATTTTTAACAAATACCGAACCTACCCTTCCATATACTGCAGCAAATATATACTTCAAGTAGAATGTACTATAAAATTACTAAAGTAGGGAGTTAGTGATGGGGATGGTGGTAGATTCACCACTCATCACCACCACTACTCCATTTTAATCCATTTTAAAAGCATTATATATCTACGTTGGAACGTACTATCTCCATTTTTTTAATGCATGACAATGTTGACTTTTTAAATACGTTCTAACCATTCATTTTATTAAAAAAATATGTATTGTCTTTTATTTTTTTTGGTTTTTACCGGGAAGGAAGGCCTTCCTCCCCTCAAGTGGATCGGGCTAATCGCCCTCCTCACTTTTCACCCCTTCTTCTTGGACTTAGTACTAGTTTATACTACTTGACTTTCCCTTCGGAAAAGGAAACTGTAAGAAACACTTCCAGCCTCGAAAGGACTCAGTAAAAAGAACTCAACCCGTTCTATACGACTAGACCGAACCAGCCATTCCACTCGCTACGGGACACACACACCTTTGGATGGAAGGATGTGTCTCCCTCCGCTCATTCCATTGACTACAAAAACCCAAAGAATTACGACTTTCATACTTGTCCGGGAGATAGAGCAGAGGAGAGGACAGCCCTCGTGCATACGATTGAATACACAAGAAATAGCTCAGCTCGAGGGAAGGAGGGTAACTAATTCTCTTTCTTGATAATTAAATCAATTATCGAGGGAATTACCTTTGCATTCAATAAACTAGTTGACACAATAAAGTAATTGGTACATCAAACACTTGATAGCTAATAAAGTACAAGCTAGCCAATACACTTAGTGCTTTACCGGGCTCGCCTTCACTCGGTCAAGGGTTTACCTTAACCTCGCTACGGGCAATATACCCTTAACAAAGTAAACGATAGCTTTTTCTTTTAATTGAGAGCTTTACCTTTTATTTGATTCCCTCCTTTTAGTCGGGTACTAACATCTACTTTTTATGAGGCAACTTACAGGTCATAAATAAAGTTCTTGATTTTAGTGATAAACTCTTAAGGGTAGCACAATTTATGTGTTCTAAAACAGGTGGAAATAAAATCGTAGAATGGTGATCGAGAAAACCTACTGGGTTTTAGGGCGTTCTGACTGGTGGCGAAACCAAGTGAATGAACTACTTAACTCATGTTCTTCAAAGTTTCGGGATACTAGCCACCCCTCATTGAGTATGATCTGAGAACCCGATTACATTAGTGCGATAGTATGTAGGGATACATTACTCCAACTAGGATTCCGGGGTGGATTGTTGGGAAACAACACTTCCATCATCAAAGGATGTGTGGTCACATTACCAAGGCAGACTTGAGACAAAAGGATTCGGGACTTGGAAGCTCATACCTAAGCAGGGTAGTTATTGATTGCGCGGAGCCGTTTCACTAATACTTGCCCGACCAGCCGGGCATCCCAGGAGACGACGGCTTTAACCAACTTAGAACACTACAGTCTCGGGTATTAGGATGGCGAAGGTTACTAACGAATCAATAACACTTCCAAGTTGGGTGTGGACTAAGAGGCGGCTGGTCAGTGAAGTCCACATTCCAGAACCGAGGTTGCCGATCCGAGTAATTGATAGAGATGCTGCCTCTCGATTGATTGGATAAATCAAATCGAGGGGGTTACCGTTGTGACCATAGTATGGCTTTGGGGCCAATCCTAGAAAACACTTAGTTTGGCTCGAGTGAAAGCAGAGAAAGACTATTGTTGTCCGTCTCTTCACACCCTATGTATAGTGAGTAGGGTTGCCCATGTAACTGGGAACTTCGAGCTGCGAGTTAGCGTATTTTGGGGGTTATAACGACAGGAAATATGATCAGAAATTTGAGAAACACCTAGTCAAAACCATGAGACCAGCCCTTGGATCAACCCCAGTCACATTTAATGGCTAGAGCCTTAGCCAATCCTGAATTCAAGAAAAGAGGAGCAAGCATATTAAAGGAGCACGTATGCCTTGTACTTGGACTTGGGGTTACAACAGGGGTTAAAAAGGTAGGCAACAAGAAGGCGGTCACCAGCGGAAAGGAATGGGATTGGCTTGGTGCCGAGGAACCAAACCAAGAATGATTGGAACCCACATCACCCGTTTCTTGAAGCAGCCCCTGGCATTACGATTTGATAGTCTTGTGCTCATTCCACCAATGCCCTGTATTGAACACGAGCACGTCGGCGCCGGCCCAACGGTTGGCGTGCCGAGGCAGCATGTCCAGCCGGACCGCTCCCCTGACGGCACCGCTGCTTGCCGGGAAGCGGTCGATCATGACAAGCATTGGGGCGTGGTAGTACTCGACGGAGAGGTTGTAGTCTGCGAAGACCATGGCGAGGTACCCTTTGTGCCTGCTAATGGGTTTCCCGGACTGCTCATATATTCTTGACTTCCCCGCTGGCACGGAGGCGGCGAGCATGCACACCATGGACTCCCACTGGTTACGGCCGATCGAGTCGCCGGCGAACACGATTCTGCCGTTCCGGCTCCTCTCCAGCATATCAGTTGCATTGAACCTAAACACCTCAAATCATTTGGAATTGAAGATTGAGTGGCAATGCAAGTAACTGAAAAATGTCCACATCATGAAAAACCACAGAAAAGAAATTACTAATTTATCAAAGATGTCATTGGCGATGGCTACCTACTTCGGGAGCTGGCAGCCATGAGGCTGCCATCGCCAGTAGCGGAAAGATGAGTTGCTCCGGCCGTTGCTGATGCACTGGAAACCAGGGTCAAGAAACGGGCAGTCCTCCCGGTAAGCAGTCACTGCCGCGGCGTCCCTCACCCATTTACCGTCGGAGAAAATACAATCGCTGGCATCGGATGGATGAGGAACCCTACTGTTGATCAGGCGAGGCGGTGGAGATCGGAAGAATGACTGCGGTGATGGCATGCGTGGCACTAGTGTGATGATGGAGAGCGCCAGGAGGACGAGCAAGACGGAGGAGAGAAGAGCGTATCCAGAATGCATGGGTATGGATGTCCCAACAAACGGCGACCATTGGTCGGTTGCAAGTCGAGGTAGAGTAAGGAGCTCCGTTGCAAATGGAGCGGGTGATGTGATCGTCTGGTGGGTAAATGCCAAGAGCATGCGGGATTAATTTGTGGACATGCGGATAAACTGGGAAAGCCACCTAAATTTGGCACGAATAAGAATGACGTTGTGACGATGTTGACGCCGGAGGGAAGGTTTAATTAGTTGATAGCCCGCACTTTGCTACGAGATAGTTATGTAGACATAATCCAATATTGGCATTAATCGATGAAAGTTTGCCGTGCGAGCCGCAGAGTGATTTTTCGACACGGACGCACCCAATACACTTAAATATGTCCAAAACTCATGTTTTTGGTGATTTTTGAACTTTTTGTTCCGATGAGAAAACATCGCACCACGTGTGCTAATATTGGCATTAATTGACAAAAGTTCATCGTGCGAGTCACGGAGTGATTTTTCGACACGGACGCACCCAATCAAATCCAATATGTCCAAAATTTATGTTTTTGTACCTTTCAATTTTTTCGTTCCGCTACCCACGTGTGCCAATATAGGCCAATATTGGCATTAGTTGAAAAAAAGTTCACCGCGCGAGTCACGTAGTGATTTTTCGACACGGACGCACCCAATCCACTACAAGATGTCCAAAACTCATGATTAGCTGCTTTTTGATCTTTTTCGTTCCGGTAAAAAACATCTCACCCATATGTGCCAATGTAGTCCAGTATTAACATTAATTGACAAAAGTTTGCCGTGTGAGTCACGGAGTGATTTTTGGACACGGACGCACCCAATCCACTCCAATTTGACCAAAACTTATGTTTTGGTGCTTTTTGAACTTTTTTGTTCCGGTTAAAAATATAGCACCCACGTGTGCCATTTGATGTGACCATGGCTACCACGGATGCAACCATTGCTCACATCATGGATGAACAAGAAGATATCGAGATCAAGTACTCCAAGTGCTGGAATCCGATTCGGCCACCTACTACACTGCTGACTTCAAACGGCCACCGAATCTGCATACGACCTCCGTTTTCGGCCCGTGAGTACTTGATGGAAAAGCTCTCGGAGCCCTCTTTCTAACGGATCCAGCCTCTTCTCTGAATTCTATCTCGTGTGGCCAGAATCACAGGAACAAGGTGTTGCATCACCTATAATGCGCCTATGGGCTTGTAACTTCATTTGGGACCCCGGCCCAGGTGGGGCCCATGTGGGGTGCGCCCCAAGCTGGTGGAGCACGACCCTAGGCACCCCTAGGTCGTCCTCCCACCCCTATATATAGCTAGTTACCCCTTCAGGGTTTCTCGGGTTTTTGTTAGATTAAAGTTTAGCCATTGCTACTTGCTTGCAGCGCGCGTGTCGGCTAGACCGTCCGTCTGCTTGTTCTTCGGAACCCCAACTTATCATTTGTATTAAATTCCTATTTGCAATATCAGATTGCTTTTATCTTGTTCTTGCTTGTTTCTTCGATTTGCTTGCAGGAATAGGGTTGATCTGCACCGGCAAGATCAGCAACCCACGGAGAGGTGTATCGATCGCTAAGGCGCAACACAACGTCTCGTACGGTTGTAGTCGGATCGTCAACGTTTCTCCCAAATCGTAGTTATCACAACTCACCGAAAGATCGGGCCAACAACAGCCTTGAGTGTCGTCAGGAACTCAGGGTTCATCACCATTGTGCCAATATCGGTATTAATTGACAAAAGTTCGTTGCGCGAGTTATGGAGAGATTTTTTGACACGGACGCACACAATCCACTACGAGATGTCCAAAACTCATATTTTGTTGCTTTTTGATCTTTTTGCTTCTGGTTAAAAAAATCTCACCCACGTGTACCAATATAGTGCAGTATTGGCATTAATTGATAAAAGTTCGCCGCGCGAGTCACGGAGTGATTTTTCGACACGGACGTACCAAATCAAGTCCAATAAGTCCAAAATTCATGTTTTACTGTTTTTTGAACTTTTTTTTTCCGGTTAAAAACATCTCACCCACGTGTACCAATATCGGCATTAATTGACAGAAGTTCACCGCGCGAGTCACGGAGTGATTTTTCTACACGGACGCACCCAATCAATTCCAATATGTCCAAAACTCATGCTTTCGTGTATTTTGAAAATTTTGGATCCGCTACCCACGTGTGCCAAAATTAGCATTAATTGAAAAAGTTCATCGCGCGAATCACAGAGTGATTTTTCGATTCGGACGCACCAAATCCACTCCAATATGTCCAAAACTCATGTTTTAGTTCTTTTTGAATCTTTCGTTCTTGTTAAAAACATCACACCCACGTGTGCCAATATCGACATTAATTGACAAAAGTTCACCACGCTAGTCACGGAGTGAATTTTCGACGAGGGCGCACCCAATCTACTGCAATATGTCCAAAACTCATGTTTTTGTGGTTTTGAACTTTTATTTTCCGGCTAAAAACATCGCACCCACGTGTGCCAATGTAGGCCAATATTGGCATTAATTGACAAACTTTCGCCGCGCGAGTTTCGGAGTGATTTTTCAATATGGACGCACCCAATCCACTCCATTATGTCCAAAACACATGTTTTGGTGCTTTCTAAACTTTTTCGTTCCGATTAAAAACATTGCACGCACGTGTGCCAATATTGGCATTAATTGACAAAGTTCGCCACGCGAGTCACGGAGTGAATTTTTAACAAGGACGCACCCAATCCATTCCAATAAGTCAAAATCTCATGTTTTTCTGGTTTTTTAACTGTTTTTTCTTGTTCAGGTTAAAACCAATGCACCCACGCGTGCCATCGTAGGCCAATACCTACATTAATTGGCAAAAACAACGGACCCACGTGTGCCAACATAGGCCAATATTTGCTAGCTCTTTGAACATTTCATTCCGGTTAAAAACATCGCACCCACGTGTGCCAATATCAGCATTAATTGACAAAAGTTGGTCACGCGAGTAACGGAGTAATTTTTCAACACGGACGCACCCAATCCGCTCCATGATGTCCAAAACTCATGTTTTGCTGCTTTTTGAACTTTTTCGTTCCAGTTGAAAACATCGCACCCATGTGTGCAAATATTGGTATTAATTGACAAAGTCTGCCGATGATGTGACCACGCCTACGACGGATACAACCATTGATCATGTCATATACCCACAGGTGGTCTCGTTTCATAACAAGTGCCAATTTAATCTAATCAAGAATATGACACTACCTCATAAATGTATGCGTTTATATGTTCAGGACCAATCCACTTATTTGGGGCTGCATATGGAAGATAAAGACGACGGCCATGGTGCATGCAGAGATAGAGATGAAGTCCGCCGCATTCTAGAATCCAATTCGACCACTTGAGATAGTGTTGAATTCAAACGGTCGCAAAATCTCCATATGGCCTTCATTTTGGGCCCACGAGTACTTGATAGAAAGCTCTCGGAATCCTCCTTCCAACGGATCCAACCTCATTGTCAAATTCTATCTGAGTCATTGGCAATTGAAGAAACAAGGGGCTGCATTGTCTGTAATGGGCCTATGGGCCTGTAATTTCGTCTGGGACCCCGGCCCAAGTGGGGCCCAAGGGGGGCTGCGCTCCAAACAGAGGGAGGACGCCCTTCTGACCTCCTACATCCCTTAAATAGCTAGTAACCCCTTCAGGGTTAGTTTGGCTTTTGTTTAGATGAAAGTTTAGCCATTGCTACTTCCTTGCAGCGCGCGTGTCGGCTAGACCGTCCGTCTGCTTGTATCCGAAACCCCAACTTATTGTGTGCATTCATTCCTATTTGCAATTCAAATTGCTTTTATCTTGTTCTTGCTTGTTTCTTCGATTTGCTTGCAGGAATAGGGTTGCTTTGCACCGGCAAGATCAACAACCTACGGAGAGGTGTATCGATCGCTAAGGCGCAACACAACGTCTTGTACGGTTGTAGTCGGGTCGTCAACGTTTCTTCCAAATCGTAGTTATCTCAACTCATCGAAAGATCGGGCCAACAACAGCTTTGAGTGTCATGTGGAACTCAGGGTTCATCAGCCGCACGAGTCACGGAGTGATTTTTCGACACGGACGTACCTAATACACTCCAATATGTCTAAAACAAATGGTTTTGTGGTTTTTAAACTTATTCATTCCGGTCAAAAACATCGCACCCACGTGTACCAATATATGCCAATAATGGCATTAATTGACAAAAGTTCGCCATGCGTATCACAAAGTGAGTTTTTGCCACGAACGCACCCAAAACACTCAAATATGTCGAAAAATCATGTTTTGGTGCTTTTTGAACTTTTTTAATCCGGTCAAAAACATCGCACCCGTGGGGGCTCAATATATGCCAATATTGGCATTAATTGACAAAAGTTCGCTGCGCGAATAACGAAGTGAGTTTTTGCCACGAACGCACCCAATACACTCCAATATGTCCAAAAATCTTATTTTGGTGCTTTTTGAACTTTTTCATTCCGGTCAAAAACATTGCACCCTCGTGTGCCAATATTGGCATTAATTGACAAAAGTTCGTCGCGCGAATCACGAAGTGAGTTTTTTGCCAACACTAATTGGTAAAAGTTCGCCGCACGAATCACGAAGTGAGTTTTTGCTACGAACACACCCAATACACTCCAATATGTCTAAAAATCACGTTTGGATGCTTTTTGAAGTTTTTCAATCCGGTCAAAAACATCGCACCCGTGGGGGCTCAATATATGCCAATATTGACATTAATTGACAAAAGTTCGCCGCGCGAATCACGAAGTGAGTTTTTGCCACGAACGCACCCAATACACTCAAACATGTCCAAAAATCATGTTTTGGTGCTTTTTGAACTTTTTCATTCCGCTCAAAAAACATCGCACATGTGGGGGCTCAGGATATTCTAAAATAGGCATTAATTGACAAAAGTTCGCCGTGCGAATCACGAAGTGAGTTTTTGCCACGAACGCACCCAATACACTCCAATAAGTCCAAAAATCATGTTTTGGTGCTTTTTGAACTTTTTCATTCCGGTCAAAAACATCGCACCCTCGTGTGCCAGTATTGGCATTAATTCAGAAAAGTTCGCCGCGCGAATCACGAAGTGAGTTTTTGCCACGAACGCACCCAATAGA